TCACTACACTGAAAAAAATGCTTTTCAACGAATTACAGAAAAGAATTACATTAATTTGCAGCATTTTGTTCAAATAGAGACATATTTGTGAATACAAATGTTATAGTTTGTATTAAAGTATCATGATTTGTGCATGTAGCGATTAAAATGTGCATTTGTGGATCAGGTGACACGCGTGCATTCATTCACGTCTCTTCTGAGTCGATTCTATTTGATTCATTTGAATTTTGAGACTTTTGTTCCGCCCTTTTAGCCTTACCCAATCCACACACACACAGCTCGCGATCCAAGCGCAGCTGAGCTAAAGAAAATCAGCGTCCATTAGATGGCACTAGCCCCAGTCACATGTGCGCATTCCATTGAGTACGGTTTTATGAATGTTACATTGTGTTTTCTTTGTTTCTTTTTGGTTTGGCTATTCTCCTCTACCGTAGAAATATAATAAAGATGTTTTATTGAACTTGTTCTAACTTAACTTGTCTTAAGACAAAGAATAGCTTATATTAATTTAGCCAAACAAGAACTTTGTGACGGTACCTTGGTTTTTGTTCAGTAATTCAACGGCACGTTGTCAGTTATTCCTTCCTTGTATTATTATTATTATTATTATTATTTTTAAAAGGGCTATTATAGTCACTCATTTAAGCCATTAGTAATTGCACGTTTATATTTAATTAAATTTCTCGCATTGCCTGAAAAACCACCTCATGCAAGCGTAAATTTTTTTTTTTGCGATATATGGGCGTTTTTGCAAAATTGACGCATTTCCATTAGGCGTATTTTCAATTCGCAATTTCAATTTGCGCAATTTGAAGGGTAATGGAAACGCGCCTAGTGTCTGCAAAGATGAAGTTGACGATGCTGATGAACGACTTTATTCTCGAAATTTAATTATTTTTATTCTCAATATTTTATATCTGCAGTTTTCTGGATATTTAATGAGTTTAATCTCGCATTATACGCTAATGACTTTATTCTGGAGATGTTTTTTTTTTTAATTGTTTGGCCCGCCCTATAATCCTCTTTCTTACTCGCTCATTTGGCACGAATCCAAATGTTTCCATATTCACAATGTTGGCTATTTGAATTTGAATGCAACAGACTATTATTTATTAGGCCTATGTAAACCAGGCTTTATACTTAACCCGCTTTCCAAAAAAAATAAAAATAAATAAATAAAAAACATGGTCTTCTTCACATGAAAAATCATCCTCTTCACATGAGCAAATATGTGCTTGGCCCGAGCTCAGGCTGAACGGCACGGATTGTACTAAGGGCTCTTTTAATTAACCAGTGTATCTAGTTTCTATAGTGTATCTATATGTTTGGTTGACTGTATTTTATTCTGATAATGAACATGCTGCAGCGTTTGCAATGCTGTAGGTAGGCCTATATGAAAAGTGCATTTCTTTCGTACTGCAGAGATGGCTAATCAGCATCGTCAACTTCATCTTTGCATAATAATAATAATAATAATAATAATAGCCTACAAGGAAGGAATAACTGACAACATGCCATTGAATTACAGAAAGAAAAAAAAAACATTTGTTTGTGGTTAGTAAGATACATGTATAAAATCTATGCAGTACATGGATAATTGTGCGTGCATCTATTAATCATTTTGAGTCTAATATCATCCCATATCCCATGGGCCTGAAAGATGAATGTTTGCACTTAAAGACAAATATTTGTACCTGCAACCTTGCCTACACCGGACGCAAGCGGCAAAAGCAAATAGAACCACGGTGCATGTCCACTGGCACAGAGTGAGTGGAACAGAGAGAGTGTTTTGAATCCATTTTTATGTAAGCTAAGCGGTGGTGTGTACAAACCTCCAGAGGGGAAGGGGAGTAGTGGCGTTACGAGGGCACAATTGTGGTGGGGTTTGGGAGGTCGGACCAAAAGGGCATTTTAGCGTCTGCAATAAAAGGGCAGGACACTGGCTCATCCTGGAACTGAGCCTGACTGAAGGCCAGTGTGATGCTCAAACTCAAAACTAACTCCCCAGTTTAAAATATTAATTATTATTTTCTACGCTTCTGTAATGTCCCTTAACATGCATCATCATCGCTGTATGTAAGGACGTGTGTTGTGAACAACACATGTCTGTCCATCACCCCAAGAGTGATACTGCTGTAAAAATCGTTTTGGTGCAAAAATTTAGCAAATTTTTTAAACTAACATTGAGCAATATAATTAAAAAATCTGAACAATGCATTTCATGACCTATGACCTGTAATCTGTGTAATATGTAAGGGCTCATGTACAGACATTTTTTTGTCGCAAAGTACTTTGCTGTTTATGCATTAATGAATCAAGCCAATGACTAAACGATCAACTTACAGGAAACAGAAAGCAATCAAGGTCATTCATTATAATTGCTGGAGCAGCCAGTTCAAGATCAGCTGATTTGATTTCTGCATTTTCACTGCTCAATGAGTATCTTATTTGCGTCATGTTTTCACTGTGTTAATTATTATGAAAGTATTGAATAATTAATCATTTAAAAAAAATACAAAAATACAAAATACATTTCAATACCCCTTTAACGTCTAAAGCAAACTTTTTGTAATGTCTATTCCAGTGGCGAGTGGTGACTGTTTTCCAAGTAAAAACCGCCAAATAATGTTTACACGTAGTTACGTTATGATAGGCTACGTAATCAGAGGGTGGGGAGATGGGGGGGGATTCCCCCGGCCTATATCTCTCTGCTTCAGCTAAATTATTTTTTTATTCCCAGTGAATAGGAGTTAAAACTCCCAGCCGGGTGACACTTCTCCAACAGACCATGCAAAATGCCCAAAATATAAAAAAAAATTGCAAAGTAACGTTGCAACCTTGCAAACAATAATACAATCAGAGAAGGACTTAAACTGTAAGCGACATGAGCATACGCAAAACAAAGGGAACAATATGATGTTTGTTATTATTAAAATTTTATATAGTTTACGTTTTTATAAAAAAAAATAATAATTTACCGCTTAGGCAATAACGTTGACAATAACCTATATCTTCAACATACATCTTCAACAACTATGACCAAAAATGTAAGTAGATATGTTTTCAGTGGACTTTCAAAATTTGCTTTGCTTGAGAAAATAAAAATATACAGTTAGTGTTTTTTCTTTTGGTTTAGTCGAGTTGGTTTTGCATCAAACACAATGTGATTCTCGGAAATCGAGATCTGACAGGACAGCTTACCTCGCTCATGAAATCAGTCCCAGGCCAGCAAATAATTGAGAACACACTACAATCCTGACGAGAGCAGAGGCGAGAAAGCTGCGGAGAATTATGGGATGATATTAGACTCAAAATGATTAACAGATGCACGCACAATTATCCATGTACTGCATAAATTTTATACATGTATCTTACTAACCACAAACAAATGCCTTTCAGTTTGAGCCTGTGGAATTCGGGATTAAATGATTGTGCAGCGATTTGTACAAATACAGATATGTTTGTGAATAAAAATGTTCTGTTCTGCATTAATATATCATAAATTGCTCATGTAAAAAGGAATCCGTGCATATGTGGATCAGGTGACACGCGTGCATTAATTGACGTCTATTTCGAGTCGATCTTGTTCGGTTCATTTGGATTTTGAAGACTTTATTTTCTCAGTTTACAGCATTTCACGTCCCCCACACACAACTACCAACGAACAAGGCCCAGTGCAATTCATTAACATGTACACGATTTGAAAAATTCGCAAATGTGCGTCACTACACTGAAACAAATGCTTTTCAACCGGTGTCTGCAGAGTTAAGAATTACATTAATGTGCAGCATTTTGTTCAAATAGAGACATATTTGTGAATACAAATGTTATAGTTTGTATTAAAGTATCATGATTTGTGCATGTAGCGTTTAAAATGTACATTTGTGGATCAGGTGACACACGTGCATTCATTCACGTCTCTTCTGAGTCGATTCTATTTGATTCATTTGAATTTTGAGACTTTCGTTCCGCCCTTTTAGCCTTGCCCAATCCACACAGCTCGTGATCCACGCACAGCTGAGCTAAAGAAAATCAGCGTCCACTAAATGGCACTAGCCCCAGTCACATGTGCGCATTCCATTGAGTACGGTTTTATAAATGTTACATTGTGTTTTCTTTGTTTCTTTTTGGTTTG